AGGCACATACAAATACAGAGACAGACACACTCACATGCATCGAAGTTGATATATGACCTTAACTAACCAAGTCACTTTATACTTGATCAAATAGGCCAGATATAGAGTATATATACCACTTTATTGGTATTGCCGGTGAGTTTTCTTGATTCGTTAGCTTGAATTTTGTTGTGACGATGTTAACTCGCTCTGATAATGTCCGCCATATGACGGACGAAAGCTTAGCACGTTTTCACCTGAATCGAAGGAGATTGCCTCGGAAACAGCGTCAGCATGAATCTTCCAGTAAAGCCAATCAACAGCTGTTCAGAGGAATCCGCCGACGTCTTCTGGTGGAACCGACCTTCGAATCTCTTCACCAAACACTCACTCAAAATGGAAGTAAGCTCAACAATTATGAAACAAGAGATTCCTCGAAACTCAACTTTTCTTCGCATTCTTATCCTATCCATTAACCTATGGTCCCGTTATATATGGCAACCCATTCCAAAACGATAGTTAACGTTTATGCAAGAGACTAAGGTCTATCGATAAATTTGAAAAGGGATACTATACATAATTACGAACCCATTATGAATGCAGCCTTAAATTTCTAAATGTTAATTAACTCTGATGTTGCATCAAGTAAATACAATAAGGAAACTAGCAAGATTCGGCTTGTTCTTGAACCCATATCTACATGATAAATTTGTGATCCAAATCATATTATACTCATGGGACGCTATGAAGGCTAAGTTCGATGGAAATTGAAATGATGCTGATAATTCTAAGAAAAGTATGAATCGAGAGGAAACTAGATATCCCGATTTCTGTAGTATAGGCGTTGAATTTTGCCAAAGAGGTGTTTGTACCGAAACCTACCTCTAAATTGAAATATCAAAATTAAAAGCATGAGAGAAAGAGACATAAATCAGGCTTACAGCAGCTTCTACAAGGCTGTTGACCATATCAAGCCTGTTACGCATCAACAAGATGTAGACCTCGTAGCCTTCCGAAGAAGCTAATGCCCCGCCACCGCTCGGAAGGAGTGAGCTGCGGCAGGTTGCTGTAGAAAGGGATGTAGGCAAGGGAGTACAAGTAGCTGCATAGAGCCAACCATATGATTGGCACATGGCTTTGACGCGGGATAGCCGAAGTGTCTGCACAAGAATAGGCGGATCGAGAAGGCGTACTTCGAGGTGGGTCTCTGTTGCCTAGGAAATAGCATAATTAAAACATCATACGAATGGTCTCTAAGCCTGTAAAAAATTTATAATTTTTGAAGGAATAAACGATTTGAGGACATTAGCAAAAAG